AGTCCTGCTCTTTGCACTTGACCCAGCCCAGGGCACTCTGACCTCTATGGCCCCAAACCAGGACCCACAGCGCCCCCTGCTGTCCACAGGGTGAATGTCACCTCCATGTGCAGCTGGTTCATCACAGGGAGGCCTTCTGAGAGCTTCCTGGAGGCTGGCAGGTGGGGAGTGTGTCCCTGGCCCCTCACTCAGCATCACAGGAGCCCCCAGCATCCTCTGCTAGGGCCCAGCCTCTCCTCCAGGCCAATGAGGAGGGAGCGTCCTTGGGAGGTTAGTGATTTTCCCAGAATCCCACAGACTGAGATGATGGGTCAAGACTCCAATGCAGGAGACTGACCTTAGAGCTTGACCTTTCACCCCCTCCCTGGCCTTCCCCTCTCCACCTCCAGATCACTTCCTCCTCTTCCCACAATGCCTCGTAAGCCCCATGTCCCGCCCTCTCTTCCATACTCAGGAGGCCCATGCCCCCTGAGTCTGCTCAGAAGAGAGCTCAGGGCCTCCGTGTTAGAATCTGTGTTTCCCAGGGAAACACGGACTCTGTGTGGTCAGCGACGGGGACTCTCCTTCTTCTGCCTCCATGGCCGACCACACAGGGTCACATGTCAGCAGCTTCCTGGGAATCACGTGAATTGGTTGGGATTCTGAATTCGTTTCCTCTTCCAACTGTGAGATCAAGATTCCTTTCTAACCGTGAAGGGCCATTGAGTTTGGACAAGTGTGAGAATAGGGACAAAACCTTTAATTCTGAGAAACATAATTAACAAGACAACCTTTTCCACGGTATCTCCTGCACAAACGTGTTTGCTTTCAATCATGGGCCTGATGAGGGTGGGGTGTAACTGATCCCCCCACACGCTGGCCACGCTGCACGTGGAGGGACCTGGAGGTCCCGGGTGACTCCTGAGCACAGACACAGGGGACCGCTGGACCTTGCTCAGCGTTGGGATCAAAGAGGGAACTGACATGAGCCCAGTCTCTGCCTCAGATACGCCCTTGCTGCTCCGGGCTGAGGGGGCGCCCGCTCCCCTCTGCCTGCCCACCCGCTTCCGCCCCTCCTCACACTCACACCTCAGGGTCTCCCCAGGGGCCTGCGGCTACTCCTGCTGCCCAGTCCTCACCCCTGAGCTGTGGGCTCAGGACCACGTGGGAGGGGTCCTGCTAGGATGTCCAGGGCGACCTGACCTCCAGGGCAGGGTGTGTGCGGGGCAGTGAGGCCCACACACCCCTTTGAGAGAGCAGCAGGCCCGTCCATCACCTTCCTCCTCCTCAGCCTCCCTCCGGATCTCTGCGCACAACACCATGTCCTGCCCGGAGGTTCATGGCAATGACCTTCCCACGGAGAAGGCCGCTCCCAGCAGCATTTGTTCATTTATTTTTAAATATATTTTTATTGACTTTAGAGAGGGAGGGAGAGGAAGTGAGAGATAGAAACATCAGTGATGAGAGAGAATCATTGATTAGCTGCTTCCTGCAGCGCCCTCCTGGGATTGAGCCCACACACGGGTCACCTGCCCTAGGACAGAATGGAACCCGGGACCCCTCATCTGCAGGCTGTCTCTCTACCCACTGAGCAACCCCAGGGAGGCCAAGCAACGTTTCTTTAAAGTCCAAAGGCCATTGTCCTCCTGACATGACCGGTGTTGACTGTGTCTGGGGGCCCAGGTCCCCTGTAAACTGGGGTTCTGTTGGACACGGTGTGGGGTCGCTGTGGGACTGATGTGGCTGCTGTTCCAGACGTTCCCTCTCACGGTGCCCAGGCCCCTATGGGGGCAGGTCCGATGCCCGTGCCCTCCTCATGGCCTCACGCTCCTGGACAGGACCCAGCTGACAGGCTCCACGTGGGATCGTCCAAGGGCCCGGAGCTGCCCTGCTCTCGCTCCACACAGATGGCAGCCGAGCTCAGGGCTGGAGGGGAGGGTGACACAGGAGGTTTCTGTCCCACTTCCCCATCCGCCTGTGTCACTGTGAGCTTTAGCATTGTCGTCCCATGCTGAACAGTAATAGTCAGCCTCGTCCTGGGCCTGGGCCCTGCTGATGATCAGAGTGTCCGTGTCCACTGACCATGATGTAGAGAATCTCTCAGGGATCATTGAGGTCCTGTTGGTGTCATCACGGATGAGCAGCTTGGGGGCCTGGCCGGGCTTCTGCTGGAGCCATACAGGGTAATATTTTTTTTCCAGTTTTTCCTGGCAGGTGATCCTGGCCGTCTCTCCTGGAGCCACAGACACTGCAGTGGGCTGAATGACTTTTGAAGAGGCCAGGGGAACTGTAAGAAAAGAGAGGAGAGGAGAAGCGAAGAGAGGAGAGGAGAGAAGACATGAGTGTGGGCATGAGGGTCTCAGTCCCAGAGGCCCACACCCCTCATCGCCCCCTTTCTGAGCTGAAGGTCATGGCCAGGCTGCTCCCTGGTGTCTGGGCTGAGCCTGGGGCAGCACCTGTGCAGAGTGTGAGGAGGGGGAGCACAAGGGTCCAGGCCATGGTGAGGCTGCCAGGCTCTGCTCTGGGCCCTCAGCTGGGGGTGAGGTCTTCAAGGCTCTTCCCAACTGGGTGGGCGGGGCCTCATGCAAATCCACTTCCTTCCTCCTGGGCCCCAGGGGGTCTCCCTGCTGAGCAGAAAAGGGCTCAGTGTGGGAGGCTGTGCCAGGGCTCCATGCACTTGGCCTGCACCAGATTCCCCAGAGCTCCCTGTGCTGTCCACTTAGAAAGGTCTGTCCAGTGCATTTGACCCAGTGTTGGAGCATCGACCCATGAACCGGGGGCTCCGGGTTCAATTCCAGCTCAGGGTCCATGTCACTGTAGGGGGGTTAATCCCCATTAGGGGTTGGCCTGGAGACTGCCCAGGATTGATTCTCTCATCATAATGTTTCTATATCTCTCTTTCACTCTCCTTTTCTCTCTGAAATGAATATATATATATATATATATATATATATATATATATATATATATATGTATTTTTTTTTTTTTTAAAAGAGGGAGTTCTGACCCCTGAACCAGCATCCTGGTCTCCTCTCTGGGCATATGGACCACCCTCAGGCCTCCTCTCCGGGGAGGACTCACCCTCAGGGTGGGGCTGCGGGCTGGGAGGATCCTGTGGGGCCAGTGGTCATGCTGGGTTGGGAGATTTCCGGGTCTCAGGGCCAAAGACAGAGAAAGTGCTCATGTGTCTCTCAGGTGATCTTGATACTGACTGAGGTCTAAGGCCAAGCAAGCGTTCTGTGATGCCATCAGAAGCACAATTCACCAAAGGAACCATTCATTCATTGACACTCATGGAAAGCCGTCTCCTTGGCTGTGTATAGCTTTGTAAAGGAACTGGCAAGAGAAAGAAGAGAAATGTGTGTTAACCCCATTTCGAATGAATGACTCGTGCAGAGAGGACAGGAAGAACATGAAATTTAGCCAAAGAATCACAGCCCATGAGGACACAGGCTGGATCCATGAGCAGGTGTGTCAGGAAGAGGGTGTGTTGAGACCAAGAGCACAGGGGAGGGCGTTCATCCTTAGCTGTTAGGGAAACACCAGCGAAAACCACAGTGAGACCTGAGCACACCACCACACAGGTATTTCCCGTACCCCCTGGGCGGGAGAAAGGGATGTCAGGAGCAGGGATGGTTGGAATGGGAAAGGGTCAGGTGACTGTGGGAAAGCACTTCACAGCCTCTCTGGGACGGAGCCTCGCACCCAGCACACAGCCCAGCAGCTCTGCTCTAGGCACTCCTTTCAGAGGGAGGCCTGTGCTCACAGGGACACTGGGTGCCAGATCCACGTCCAGCATGTCATGATTGCAAGAGTTTCCTCAAAAGGTTGATGTAACTTGAGCACTCAACAAGGGCTGAGACACATATGCAATCACCTGTTGTAATGGCTGAAGGCATTTCCCCCAAACCTGAATACGATGATTATTTGCTGCCAGACAGCTCAGGGCTTCTTAATCTACCTGTTATTGCCTCCTGTTGGCCAAATGCCTGAACAGCTGTAGGCTATTCACCATTCTGGCAGTGCTCTCAACCCTACCCTTAAAAGTGTATTATTTCCACCTTGCCTTAGGACAAATTGTGTTAATAAAAAGCAAGGGTCCTGACACAAGGAGAGCTTATCTCCTTTAGCTAAAGCTCCCCTGACCCGTAATGCCTTTCAAAATTATCCTTTATCTTTGGATTCTTACTTAATCTATGCACCGCCTTTCTCCCCATTGCTGAACCCTTCTTAATGCTGGAACCAGAACCCCGGGAACTATGCACAGAAGTCATGGCCCCCAGGCCCCCTCATAGCCCCTGTCTTCCTCCTGGGCTGCACACCCCACAGGGTCGGGGTCTCTATCCTGCCTCCCTGAGGACCAGATGCTTCCTGCTCAGCCCTGACCTGCCAGGCTCTGCTGGAGTCCATGCTGCACTCAGAGGGAAGGCGCTCACTGCTGTGTGTTCCATGGTCCCCACCGGGACCCCAAGATCCGGCTCCTCTCTGACCAGAGCCCCAGGTTGGAGCAATGCCTGAGGACACTGGGGAACAGGGCCATCAGCCCCACCCCTCTCAGTTGTTTCCCTTGTGGGCAGGCAGGTGCTTCATCGTCCCCATAGGTGGTGGTGGTGGGTGGGGATTGGTGAGGACATTCCTGCTGTCTGGTCCCAAGGACCTACGTGGTGCCCGCAGGGGCCTCTCCTTAGGGCTCTCAGTTGAAGGAGGGGCCAGGTGAGGTGGTGGGAGGAGGAGAGCCATGGGTTCAGGGTCCTGGGAGAAGCAGGGAGGGCACCCTCCGGACCCGTGTGAGGAGCCTGGGGAGGGAGGTTTTTCTCTCCTTATCCACCACTTCCATCAGCAGGAGCAGAGGCCCGGAGGGGACAGGGGACCCGCTGAGGCCCCCCAGCACTGCAGGGCCCGGGCTAGGCCCTAGGGGGACTCCTGACCCTGAGGCCTGACTTCAGCTGCTCAGACAGCGGGTGAGCGTGGGAACCAGGCAGTGCGGGCAGGTTTCTGTCCCACTTCTGCATCTGCCCGTGTCACTGTGAGTAATTGCTATTGGTATCAGGTGCTCCACAGAAATAGTCAGCCTCATCCTCAGGCTGGAGGCTGGAGATGGTCAGGTAGCGGTCGGCCCCGGAGCTGGAGCCCGAGAAGCGATCGGGGATCCCGTCCCCCTTGGTGATGCTTCCGTCGCTGTTAACCTTCATCAAATAACGAGGGACCTGTCCTGCTCTCTGTTGATACCAGTAAATAAAGTAGTTGCTGTGCTCCCGGCTCAAGGTGCAGGTGAGCTTGACCGAGGCCCCCAGGGCGGCAGAGGCAGATGGGGGCTGGGTGAGCTGATGCAGAGCACAGAGACCTGCAGACACAAAACACAGAGCGATGCCCAATGCACCCCCACGTGCGGGCGCCCCGAGGACGGAGCTGGGAGGGAGGATGGGGGGCAGGACCCCGGGGGCTGTGGCCGCTCTGACCTGTGGACAGCAAGAGGGGCAGGAGGCAGAAGGGCAGCCAGGCCATGGCGGAGGGTCCTGAGCGCTGCCTGCGGCTGCCCAGCTGGCACTGGCCCTGCCAGCCCCTGTCTTATCCTCTGTGCCTGCAGCTCAGGGGGGAGGAGCAGGCATGCAAATGTGTGCTCTGGGCCCAGCCAGGGTGTGTGCCAGCTGCTGGCCCCGCCCTGAGCCCAGGGCCTCCTGCGGGGCCTCCCCTGAGGGCAGAGGGCAGCTGTGGGTTTCACTGCTCAGAGCTGCTGGGCCCATGGGAGGGTCTTCCCAGGAGCTCAGTCCTGCTCTTTGCACTTGACACAGCCCAGGGCACTCTGACCTCTAAAGGCCCCAAAGGAGGACCCACAGCGCCCCTTGCTGTCCCCAGGGTGAATGCCACCTCCCTGTGCAGCTGGTTCGCCACAGGGAGGACTTTTGAGAGCTTCTGAGATCCAAGGAGGGAGGACAGGGCCTCAGGTGGGGGGCGGTCTGGTACCTCCTCTGGACATCTGGGTTATGAAATGGTGGTCTGGGTTACAAATTGAGAAGGACTCCCCTGATACAAGTCTGGATTCTGTGTTTGAGGCCTGGGCCCCAGGATTATCCTCTTGGCCCCTCCATGATAGTCTGGGTCCCGGGTGTAGGTGTGAGCCTCAGGTGGAGGGCTGGGTCCTCTGAGGGCAGTTCGGGCCCGGAGGGAAGTCTGAGCCTCCGGGGCGGACTGGTACCTCACCTGAGCATCTGGGTTATGGAATAGTTGTTGGGGTTACGCATAGAGATCTCGTCCCCTGATACAACTCTGTGTTCCAGGTTTGTGGCCTGGGCCCCAGGTGTTCTTACTAGGCCCCGCCATGAAGATCTGGGACCCAGATGTAGGTCAGAGCCCCGGATGCAGATCTGGGTGCTCAGGCATGGTGTAGCCACCAGGGGGCGCTATAGGCCCAGGTGGGAGGTTTGGGGCAAAGGCAGGACCTTGGGATGATGAAATGGTGGTCAGGACTAGCCTGGATATTTGGACTCCAATTAAGTAATGGGAATTGGCTTTCCATATGGTGTCCCAGAATGGACTTCTGGTCTTCTACACCAGTGTTTCCCAAAGTGTGGTACGCATACCCCCAGGGGTATGGGAAGAGTTTGGTGGGGATACACGTTGCATCGGAGTTTGGTGGGGATATGCACTGCACCGTGCTTAGCTGTGCCTAATTCTACGTTCTCATGAGTATGAGGGGTACTCAGCGTTACGAAAATTATAGAAGGGGTACACATATGTCAAAAGTTTGGGAAACACTGATACACAATGGTCTGCGGCCAGGAGGTAGGTCTGAGCCCCGGACTGAGGTCTGGGTCCTGGGAGGGCCTTCTGGTAGCTCAGCTGGACATCTGGGTTATGGAATAGTGGTCTGGGTTAAGCATGGAGGGCTAGTCCTCTTATACACACTGTGTCCTGGGGCCCGGGTTGGCCTTCTCATCTCCGCCAGGAAGGTCTGGGACCCAGATGTATGTCTGAGCCTGAATGGAGGTCTGTGTCCTGGAAGGGCCGTTCGGCCAGGGAGGGAGGTCTGAGCCCTGGGAGACGGTCTGGTACCTCACCTGGAGAGCTGGGCTACGGAATGATTTCCAGGTGAGCCCCCAGGTCCCGCTTGTTACTCCCAGCCAGGTGAGAAGGTGCCTTCCTTCATCGGAACAAAGCAATCACATTTTTTTTTTAACTTTAAAAAAAAAATATCTTATTGATTTTTTACAGAGAGGAAGAGAGATGGATAGAGAGTTAGAAACATCGATGAGAGAGAATCATCGACCAGCTGCCACTTGCACACCCCCTACTGGGGATGTGCCCACAACCAAGGTACGTGCCCTTGACCGGAATCGAAACCGGGATCTTTCAGTCCGCAGGCTGACGCTCTATCCACTGAGCCACACCGGTTTTGACACAAAGCAATCACATTTAACAGACGGTGAGAAACACCTCTTACCACTCCAGCTGGTCCCCAGGAGTCCATTCCTGCCCCTATCGAACACCAACACTGCCCAGCTTCTTGGCCGTGGTGTGCAAATGAGGTAGCCGGACGAAAAGGAAGAGAGCGTCTCACTCTTTCTCCTCAGGCCCTCGGCGGCATGGTCACCGTTTCTCAGAGACTCTTCTTTCAGCAGCAGACGTGGTGAGGAGCAACCCCCGGAGAAGGCATCCTAAGCACGTGAGCATGGGGGACGCGGAAATGACTTTGACAACGTTGCTTTGTGTAGACGTAAATCCAAGATGTTCTGCTCTGGTGTATAGACCAACGCATCCATAATAATAAAAGTGTAATGTGCTGATCAGGCCACACAGCCAAAAGATCTTCCAGACGTCCTTCAGGACAACCTTCCGAACAAGGCTGGGGCTTTGAGGGCCAAGCCCCTTGCATGAATTTTGTGCATTGGGCCTTTAGTTTAATATATATTTTATTGATTGCAGAGAGGGAGAGAGAGAGAGAGAATATGATTCTCTGGGCCCTTGTGTATGAAGGGTGGGGAAGGATCTTGAGAGCAAGGTGCTCAGGGGCCTGGGAGTGCAGGGCAGATTTTGGTCTCACTTCCCCATAGCCCGCACCACTGTGCACAGTACCACCACTACTATATGAGCAACAGTAATAGTCAGCCTCATCCTCAGCCTGCAGCCCAGAGATGGTCAGGGTGGCCGTGCTGCCAGACTTGGAGCCAGAGAAGCGCTCAGGGATCCCTGAGGGCCGAGTGCTGACATCATAAATCAGGAGTTTGGGGGCCGTGCCTGGGCGCTGTTGGTACCAGGAGACACGGTTATAATAGCCGACATCATTGCTGCTCCCAGCACAGGAGATGGTGACTGACGTCCCAGGAGTCCCAGACACGGAGGGAGGCTGAGTGAGGGCCGCCTGGGCCCAGGACCCTGAAAAGAACAACAACACCCTCTGGTGAGCTCAGTGCTGGGCCCGGGGAGCCTGAGGAGGAGGCAGAGGGAGCCCAGTGTCCCCGGGTCCCTCCCTGAGGCCTCACCTGTGCCCTGAGAGAGGAGGCTGAGGAGGAGCAGAGCCCAGGCCATGGTGGAGGTGCCCTGAGAGCTGCCTTCTGAGACCCCAAGCCTGAGCCTGGCTCCCCCAGACCTCTCTTATCCCCTCCCCCTGCCTCACGGGGGAGGGGCCTCCATGCAAATCCATTTCCTGCTCCTGCCTGTCTTCTCTCTACTCTGACTTGACTCTTGATCTTGATGCTTCTGCTCACCAGACAGCAGAGCTGACCTGAGACTTTAAGTTGGATTTGTTTTCCTCACCAGGGACCCACTGAGACCGCAGGAGAGGGACCAGAGGACCCCTTGGGGGTCCCTGTCCCTTCTCTTTGGGCATCCACGGCGTTCTTGGCTGAGGAGGATGGGGACTCCCCTCTGGGACACTGGGAGGAGGGAGGACAGGCTCTAGGTCTGCTTTTAGAACTCCAGTCCCTCTGTGGCCCAAGAACCACGGGCAAAGCTGGTTTCTCCCAGGCTTTCTCCATCTTTCCTGATGCCCTCAGTTCAATGAGTCCTCAGGTGTCCTTTGTCCCAATGTCCGTAGTGTCTGAGGCTTGGGCACATTTACTGCCACCCCAGAAGTGGAAAGTTGGGATGCAATGCATACAGGACATCCCCCTCCACCGCCTCCCACTCAGAAAGAGGTCCTGGTAAGCTCCCAGGAAGACTTCCTGCAGCTCAGGGCTGAACCCCAGCCAGCATTTTCCCCAAATGCAGACAATGCTGCCCCCTGGTGTCCTTGGATGATGCAAGCCAAGCCCCAGGGAAGGCAGCTTAGACAATGCTGGCCTCCCTGTGAGGTAACAGTGAGGTGGTAGAAGTCACTGGTCTGCTCAGAAGCACATCAGCTGGGCTAGTGGACCGAGTGGACTCGGCCCTTGTCTCCTCGGAAACCATGGCAAGGACTGGGCACAGGTCAGTTGTCCTCATCCTTCCTGGGGAAGCAGCCCTCTGACTTCACTGGGTCTCACCTTGTCCTCGTTCCTCGTCCTGTTAGGAGCACAATGAATCTGAGCTTGGGCTTCAGAGGTCTCTGTTCTCCTTAACAATCATTCTGCACACGGTGCCCATGTGATAAGACATGTCAAAGAAATGCCAAGCAAGACAGCAATGACAGGAGGTAAAAGGGCCACTTGCAATTATTTAATGTCCAATAAAGCCAAGTACATAAATTAAAGACTCTGATATTTAATCCCAGATCCATGCCGATGCATGGAGAGTGACTCATTTCAATCAATTACTTAGATGGAGAAAATAACAAAGACTTTCATTCTTAGGTGTATTTGTACTTGTTGGGTCATTTCAACTGGGAATATGGCTGGATATAAGTTGGATCATCATGAAAAGCTTTCAAGATCCTTGAGGAACGGGGGCCCCGGCCAACAAACATCTTGAAGAACCAGGCGGCCAACTGGAAAGATTCATCCAATGGGATGGCCATTCTCCTGCAGGTGCCCCCAGGAGAGCGATTCAGGGACCTGAGCAGAGGGCAGTTGTGAGAGGACACACCCTTTCCCTCAGATCCCCACCTCACACCTTCCTTGGCCATGGCAAGTACTGGGAGCAGGAAAAGGAAGGAAAGAAGGAAGGATGGGAGGAACGACAGAAAGAAAAAGAAAAAGGAGGGAGAAAGGGAGAGAAGGAGGGAAGGAGAGAGAAAGAAAGGAGGAATGAACAAAGGAAGGGAAATTAAACTTTTTCTTTATTGTCTTTGCCACTTCATTAGTGGAGAACTGGATCCAGATTGGTCTGTGCAGGTGTGGGAGGCCCAGGGGTTTGAAGTGATGATATCCCAGAGGATTGTGGGAAATGGACCCAGCAAGCCTAGCAGGGCGTCCCTGTTATGGTTGCAATGAACGCTTTGGAATGAGGGGCACAAAACACAATCCAAGTCAGGAATCCCAAGCAGCAGCTATGGACTTCGTGGGAGAGGGGAGAAGAGCTGAGAAAACACGCTGAGCCCCCAAGGCTCTGGGAGAGGCGGGAGGGAGGGGCAGAGCACGAATCCTCCAGGGCACCCTGCCTGAGCCTCCTGCCCAGGGAGGGGAGCAAGGCAGGTAGGCGCCTGGGAGCCCAGGGGAGGTTTTGGTCTCACTTCCCCATGAGCCTGCACCACTGTGGAGAGTGCTACTGGTTGTATATGAGCAGCAGAAATAGTCAGCCTCGTCCTCAGCCTGCAGCCCAGAGATGGTCAGGGTGGCCGTGCTGCCAGACTTGGAGCCAGAGAAGCGCGCAGGGATCCCTGAGGGCCGAGTGCTGACACCATAAATCAGGAGTTTGGGGACCGTGCCCGGGCGCTGTTGGTACCAGGAGACTTCATTATAATAACCGACATCACTGCTGCTTCCAGCACAGGAGATGGTGACTGACGTCCCAGGAGTCCCAGACATGGAGGGAGGCTGAGTGAGGGCCTCCTGGGCCCAGGACCCTGAAAAGAGCAACAACACCCTCTGGTGAGCTCAGTGCTGGGCCCGGGGAGCCTGAGGAGGAGGTGGCAGAGGGAGCCCAGTGTCCTCGGGTCCCTCCCTGAGGCCTCACCTGTGCCCTGAGAGAGGAGGCTGAGGAGAAGCAGAGCCCAGGCCATGGTGGAGGTGCCCTGAGAGCTGCCTTCTGAGACCCCAAGCCTGAGCCTGGCTCCCCCAGACCTCTCTTATCCCCTCCCCCTGCCTCCTAGCAGGGCGGGGCCTCCATGCAAATATGCCTGATGCACCTGCACTCTGGGCAGAGAGCTCCCTGGAGGTTAAAAGTCTTTGAGCTGGCCCTAACTGGAAAGGCCCAGTGGGTAGAGCATCAGTCTGCAGACTGAAGGGTCCCAGGTTCAATCCCAGTCAAGGGCATGTACCTTGGTTGCAGGCACATCCCAGTAAGAGGTGTGCATTAGGCAGCTGATCGATGTTTCTCTCTCATTGATGTTTCTACCTCTCTATCCCTCTCCCTTCCTCTCTGAAAAAAAAAAAAAAAGTCAATAATGTATATTTTTTAGAAAACTCTCTGAGTGGAATTTTCCAAGTCAGGATAGGCTGAGCCTAAGACAGGGCCCAGGAAATGGAGATAATCTCGGATGCCCCCTTCCTTCCTGTTGCAAGAGCCATTGTGGCTCCCGAGGAATCTTGGGACTTCCACTTCTTGCTCTGAGGGATGCAGCTGAGGGCAGGGAACAAGGCAGGCTGGAGAGAGCCAATCGCTCAGTGTCCAGGGACAGCAGCCAACATTGGGGTGCTTCTCACCCCTCAAACCTCCCCGCTTCTCCTCATAAGATGGGTTGATCCGCCCTCTGCCTGTGCATTGGCCGAACCTGGGTCCTGAGTCTGAGCCAGGGGTGCATTTATTAGAAGTTGTCTAACAAAGTTATTGGAAGCTCTGGCCGGGGACTCAGCTGGTTAGTGTCATTCCAACACGCCGAGGTTTCAGGTTCAATCCCCAGTCAGGCCACATGCAAGAAGCAACCCGTGAATGCCATGAATGTGGCTGCAATGGGGCGACTGTCCAACTCTGTTCTTCTCCTAAACTCACTAAGGGTGGACTGAGCATTATTGCCTTGGGCCAGAGTTTTATGTGGAGGCCAAGGAACAGGGCAAAAAAAGACAACACACACTCGAAAGCTAGGATGCATTTGGCAAGTGGTAACTGACTTAGGCCTGACAGAGCCCAGGACCGAGTCTGCAAAGGTTCCCACAAAAACATCACATTTTCTTCCCAACCAGTGAGTGTGGAGGCATGAGCTGAGATGAAGGACAGGTTAGAAGTGGGACCTGTTCCGGAAGCGCGGGGTGTCCAGATCCTCTCTCCTTCCTGCTGGTGAGGTTGGGAGAGCCCTGCCCGCCAGCACCTCAGCACTCAGACCCTCAGCCCCTCAGCCCCTCCCTGCATGATTTGTCCTCAGCAGCAGTGGACACATGTCTCTGGCTGAGGGGAGCCAGGCAGAGTTGGGTCTGAGGGCATCAGGAGAACCCTGGGGGCCTCATGAGTATAGCTCGCTCTGCTCACTATGCCCCAATGGTCACCTCCCTCTGATGGGCAACGGTTGGAAAGAGGCCTCTGTGAGGAAGCTGGCCAGTCGCAGGTGCAAGCAGCTCTGGCACCGCCCGGCGATGTCTCAGAGCGTGTGGCCTGGATTCCCATTGGCACTTGCTTGTCTGCGCCAACGCTGTGTTTCCAGGAGCCAGTGCCAGTGTCCTGAGCAGCCTACATTAGTCTCTCCTGACCCCCAGTGAGCGCTCTCTGCCTCTCCTGGAGTCCGGGCCCCACTAGGCAACAGGAATATACAGCCCCCCGCCCCCGCCAAGATCCTGCTGGAGAGCCAGGTCTGGCCCACCTCTGGATACGCCTTCCTCTCAAATGATTCAGAAAATGAATGTCATTGTGTCTGTGTTATGTATGTGTATGCCTGTGTGTGTGTATTCCTCTACTCCTATGTATGCATACACAAACGTATATGCTGAGAGAGATGAAGATAAGAAAACAAAAGGAAAAGTAAATATGGTAAAATGTTAAAGAGTGATGAATCAGGGGAAAAGATTATAGAGGATTTCTTTATACTATCTTTAAATGTGTGTTTATGTTTGCAGTTATTAAAAACTAAGGTCATAGCAAAGGATAAAGAAGTGAAAGCCTGGGTTGAGGAGTGACGGGGCTTGAGGGAGTTGAAGGAGGTTTTGGTCTCACTTCCCCATAAGCCTGCACCACTGTGGAGAGTGTTAGCATTCCTATATGAGCAGCAGTAATAGTCAGCCTCGTCCTCAGCCTGCAGCCCAGAGATGGTCAGGGTGGCCGTGTTGCCAGACTTGGAGCCAGAGAAGCGCGCAGGGATCCCTGAGGGCCGATTGCTGACATCATAAATCAGGAGTTTGGGGACCGTGCCCCCGCGCTGCTGGTACCAGGAGACATAATTACTATAACCGACATCATTGCTGCTTCCAGCACAGGAGATGGTGACTGATGTCCCGGGAGTCCCAGACACGGAGGGAGGCTGAGTGAGGGCCGCCTGGGCCCAGGACCCTGAAAAGAGCAACAACACCCTCTGGTGAGCTCAGTGC